ATTTCAAAATATGTTTTATCAAATAAATGCAGTGGTGTGCATAAGACAATTTTTTATTTTTAATATTTAAAAATCTTGACGACCCCAAACTTTTGAATGGTTGTGTATATAATATTAAAAAGAAGATGAACCCAGTGATTTCTGCTTGAATTAATCATACAATTTGCTCATATAAGTAACAGCAATAGTAAGAAAATACAGTCTTCCCAAACAAATACACAAAGACTGATGAGTTTTCTTGTCTTAAATGAACACGTTATGTAAACATCCACAGTGCAGGGTGGAAAAAGTATGCGAGTCCCATTCTGGAATATCTCCGTCACATGTCAACAGTACTTAAAACACTAAACAAAAACGGTGCTCATGGGAGTACACCATGAAGGAAGCCACTGTCCAAAACAAACTAACAAGCAAAAGGGGGGAAAATGTTGAATGTTTGAAGATCGCAAAAGAGCCTTTGGATGCTCCACAGTGCAATTGGAAAAAAATATTCTATGGACTGAAACCAAACAAAGTGTGGTGTGGGGGGAAAAAGCCACAGTAGAACAACATCAAATGCTCATCATGGCTTGGAGTTGCTGCCTCAGAGCTGTCACTAGCCGGGTTTCCATCCAAAGTTGCGAATTTAACTTATGCGCAAAACTGGAATATCGCATATAAAACATTTGCGAACAAGCATCGTTTCCATCCAACAAGTCAAAGAGAATATAAATAGAGTTATACTACTAATACACTATAAATCACTAAGAAAAGTAGGAGAATATAATAATTTTCATATATAATAAATTACTTGCGCCTCAGAGCGAGCAGACGAAATGCAATGAACGCGGTCATTGCTTTCGGAGGTGGATGCTGCTGTTTGGGAACGCAGTCGTGTAAGACATTTCAGGGAGGCAATTGTACAGAAATACTTTGATGATAGACTTTGCTCGTGCATTTCCGAATGACCAAAACAACATTTGAGATGCTGTGGAATGAGATCGGTCCGCTGGTTAGTCAGGTTATGCCGTCCCATAGCGCAAAGTCACATGACTTTTTTGATGCGCTTGGAGGAATTTATTCGCAAAATGCATTTCCATCTCCCATTATTCGCATTAACCCTTTTTCGCACAAGTCAAAAACCACCTCAAGCGAGCAAAACAACTTTTTTGCGAATTAAGGCATTTTTATTTGAAATTCAGCGTTTCCATCTCTCGATTCTGATGCGATACTTCAAAATGCGCATTAAAAGCAGGGTGATGGAAACCCAGCTAGTGACGGAAAGTTTATCAGAGATAAATTATGCCCAGTTCAGACTACGCGATTTTAGCCCAATTTTGCCACGATTTGCTTGACGTAGGGTGTCGTGGGGATTCGTAAACGACAATGGGCATCGGGACGCAAGGACGCAAGATTCCATCGTTTCAGCACGTGTAGTGTGTCATAGTGGACGGCAACCGATTCCGCGTCTGCGATGCTTTACGACATCACGACAGAAAGACTAGCATGTTAGCTAGCGCGCTAGCGGCTTTCTGCACTTCGCAGAAACAGAAGTTCAAAACTGAGGCGATTTCACCCCACTGCTTCTCTTTCTCCTTACGGTTGTGATACATTTTTGACACATTATACATACAGTCGTGTTACTACAAAACTTCAAGAAGCAGTTTCTTCCGTCTCCACTATCCAACGGAGCCGTACAGCAGCACAGTTGCCAAGTCCACTTATTATACGCGACTTTGGGCTTCTTTTTTTGTAAAGTTGCGTGAAAAAATCCCGGGTTGCGGTTTTTTGGGTTTATTTGAAAAAATATGGTTGCTTGCAAGGAAAATCTGACAAGCAACTTCGTTTCTTTACATTTATGTTCGCCGTATTCTCCAATGCATTGATTGACACTCTGTCTAAAGATTAGACAGAGTTAAAGGCCAATTAGTGCAATAATATAAGTGCTGTAGCGTAATTCATCAAATATTCCGCCCATCATGTTCAAAAAGAAGGAGCGTGATGCTGTAATCCAAGTGATGATAGGAGATGTAATAAAGGAGTGGCAAAGTCCCTTTAAGGCAAGTCATATCACTCGGCGGTCATCTTTGAAACGCCTCTCGGGCATGCAAGTGCAACTCCTATCTCCTTGAATGGGGAAACATCAAATTCTCCAAAACTGTTCACTAAGCTTACGATTAAATTTCATATTTGAAATCACCAATGAAATCTGACAACAACTGTATCATAAATGTTATTTATTTTGCTCAAATAGCGTTAAATAAAGCTTATTTTTCAGGCTAGATCAGCCAGTGCGCATGCCGCACATCTCAGAGCGTTGACTGTTTCTATAGCAACCTGAACTTCTAACCATAGATATGTAGGTATTTATATCTATGCTTCTAACGGCAGCTGCAGTGACGCGCTGACTTTACCTATTAGCGATGGGCTCTTTTGCTGTTGCAAAATTGAGTGTTGCATTTTTCCCCATTCAAAACTATACGAGTGACACGTCTTGGGTATTCTATAGTCTTTG